CGCTACGCCACAAAGGCGTTGAAGCATTTTGCCCTGTTCTACGTACTTCCACCCTCGTCTTCACCGTCCTCTTCCGTCATATTGATCCCCATTATACAGTTCATATTGATCCTCGTTATACATACTTAAATGCCGACACACATAACTCACCCACTCAGGAACTCACATGATAGAGTGCAACTGTCATAGTGACGAGAGGCTCAGTTGCGGCCAACGCAGTTTCATCATCGTCTGAGCCGTTCATGGCTTCCTCATATTAGTCTATTAGCCCCGTAGACTGGAGTTCATCTTTGGACCAGCAACGTGTATAAAACCCACAATCCTCCTGGACAAGCTTGTGGTGGATCTGGTATAACAAACATCACCTTTTTACACTTCGGATCTCAGATATTCTTAAATGCGATATCACATACACGATCACAGATCACATTATCACTGTTGCGTCAAAACGCCTATGGACTGCAAATACGCACACCTCGCCTGCTGTCCGTAATCAACAATCTCCATAGCTGTAGCATTCGTCTGGAAGAGGAGTCTGTCTTTCGCCCATGCGTTCCACTGAACCCATTCTGGCGACCCGGCAAGGCGATAGATGTTCGGATTATAGGTACGTATGAAGCTCGTCCAGTACCCCTGGATGATTGGAATGATCGCGGCGTTTGATTGACCCGGATAGTACGATGCTGGTGCGGAACCGGGAGCGACGTTATATGGGCCTCAGATGGCATTGATCTCGATTGTATGTGGTACGCCGTAACCCCCTTCCATTTCGAGTGGATCCATGACGTTATAGCTGCGAGACTTAGTTCGGTACTAATCATTCACGTGGTAGATTGTGGCATACCGATAGATCCAGGTACCAGCACTACTGAATGCGCTGCCGACGGCCTGACCTGGACACATGTACCTCATCTCGCCGTACGCGTTGCTGAGCGCACGCCACAACGGGCCTTGGTTTCGATACGTCTCTGCAGGTCGGTACATGGCATTTGTTTTGTTCAGCTGCTCTTGTGTCATCATAATGAACTGATCCAGAAGGAATTGATCCATTTGCTCGTACGTCGACGTGTTTAAATTGACAGTGAAGTCGGTACCGCCATTAGTGTCATCGTTGTGACATATATCAGTGATCGAGTAGCCTTACTTGCAAGATACGAGGTTGACGCACCCAAATATGACTGGAACGTGTACAAACTTCCCTTGCTCAAGAAGACGATAGCTGTCATCCGTGATAAAGTCGCCGTCTATAGTGGGTCCATACATATAGAGCGGGGGGCTGGCTCCTGATCCCAGGTTAGGGTAGGGAATGTTCCAGTTGTTCTTCTGCAGATATGATGCATTGAGTGAGCGCATACAGCCGAGGGTGTCTTCAACTTGGTCGTGTCCACATCCGACTCTTTCGATGATAGTATCGTACTGATACTGGGATTGGGACACGTTGAACATGTTCCCGAAAGACGATGATTCGGCAGCTGCGGCATGGAAAAGGCCCTCGTCACGGCCGCCGTACGCCATCAGATGATAAAGCACGGCTGCAGCGCCGGCGCTATCTCCCCCAATGACAACATGCGACGGATCACCACCGAACTGTTTTCAGAGTGAGTGAGATACTACGTACGAATCACATCATAAGGACTGTACCCTCGTTATGTAGCTCTGTACCCATTTCATGACCATCCGCTGGTCCAGTAGGCCAACATTGGTGGTGCCATTGGCCACAACCTCTGTGCTCGAAAGAAATCCGAATAGTCCAACGCGATAATTGAAGTTCACGACGATAATGTTCATTCCAGATGCCTTGATCAAGCCCGTGCCATTGTAATTGGCATTGGAGTTCTCGTTGAAGCCACCTCCCTGAATGAACAAATAGACAGGGAGTTTCGAAGAGGGAGTAGCGTTGCTTGGAGCGTAGACATCGAGGAATAGACAATCTTCTGAGGTGGTAGGATCATCCGGGTTCTAGTTGCCCGGAGTCGAGAGACATAGGAGACCATGCTGTAGTATGTCACGGATCAGCATACCGTTCACATGGCGTATAGGGTGAGCTTACCCTATCGGCCTCCATAACTCCATCTTCATGCTGCGGCGGCTGTGGGGCCCTCCAGCGCAGGTCTCCTGTGGGTGGAGTAGCATACCGAATGCCCAACCATTCGGTGACACCAGTTCCGCGAGCTATCCCACGGTATTGGCTGTAATCGAGGTCGACTAGGGGATCGACGGCGTTCGAAAGAGGCAAAGCAGCGAAATACCAAAGCGCCAATATAAGCATGACGAGGATGCATGCGAGATGAGGTTGCGCGAAGCCTTCACGGAGTGGTTAGCATTTATAGGCAGGTCTGAGTGGTCCATCGTGGATTGTTTACGCCACGAATCGCCAGCACAGGTGTGGATGATATGCGATGCATCAGATGCTCCAAGTCGTCAGAACTCTTAGAGACATCCTAAAAAAAGGCTGTCCAATCCAGATGGAGCTAGATGGCTGCACTGCAGGCTTCTTGTTGGAGCTCGCTTTGCAGAAACTGACTTGAACAAGATGACCGGCGCATCAACAGCCTCGTCAAGAGCGTCGCTCCATTGACAAGAATGAGTGCGACTTCAAGATGGTCGTCGAAAGGAGGCCAGTTCGAATCCGAGATGCAATTAGAAGTATTATGGAGTATCGGTGCGTCGTAGAAAGAGTATAACGGGCAGTCGGAGTGATCTGGCCAACGTGTCTCGGCTCCGGTCGGACATGCAGTGATGACCACTCAAATGACATCCCCACTCTCTCTGCTTTGGCCTTGATCTCATCACCACCTCCTTGAACTGCTTGCATACAGGCCACCCCTTGCTCTTGACACTCTACTTGGTCATGTCACTGGTTTATGCTATTGGGTGGTTGGAGAGTGGTGCATCAAATCCTTATATGTGCCTTTGATGCATACTTAGGCCACATGTCATTGCTATGCAGATGCTGAATAAGCAAGGACCAATTCATGTGGTCACATGAGTCATGCAATCCCATCCAACCTCATCTCTTCTAACCCTGATGAAGGGGTTACCATTGAGAATTCAAACCTGCTTGTGGCATTCTGTAAGGGTGTCAGGGCACCAGCTGATTGCTTGGTCAAGAGACATGACTAAGCCTTTATGACATGGAAGTAGCTGGTATACCTTGGCATGTGCTGGAACTTGCTGGAAGGATTGGATAATCAGGTGACCTGCTGTGCA